AAGGACTGTGTAAATAGTTTTGATCATAAACACACCCCTAATTCCACACAAACTGTTTCAAGGGAAGGAAAGAGACCAATTTTTACTTCAAACCTTGATATTGCAGGTTACAACCATACATAATGTATTACAAAACACTCAGCAAAATCATGCATTGAGGTTCGGAAGTTTTCCTTGTCTTTATTATGAAGTCACCCATTGTATTTTATGAAATATCTAACTGATCGAGATTGGGCTATAAGCAACAATTTGGCGCTATCAAACAGAGCCACGTCAGTTAAAGAGAAATTTGAATGTTAAGCGCACTCTCAATTTATGTGCAGATACGACTTACCTGCAAATCGTGCTTCAATGTCGAATTTTATGCCTCCCCCTTCGGATGCATGCGCAATATATGACTGTGATACTTCCCACATGCATGAAAATTTTAATGCTGTCAATTTAGCAAAGAGAAAATTAAGATACACGTGTAAATTATTCGCCTGATAGTAAAGATTTCCGTGGAGGAGAATGAATGACTGTGTCTATTCTGTAATTTAAGACTGTCTTGCCTTCCGGCGGGGCCTCACATATATAAAAAATGTAATTTTCCATTACTTTATACGTATGCCCCCATACCTACAGGGAGCGTCTTACTAGCACACAAAGAATGCGTTGTTAGACTAATCACGGTTTCGTCGTCACATCTTGAAAATAGAGTTGAGACTTGAACATGAAAGCAATCTTCGCAGTAATGAACACTACTTGAGCAGTGGAGAAAATGAGGCCTGTACGGGATTTTAAACCATGACCTCTGCGATACCGGTGCGGCGCTCCATCAATTGACCTAACAAGCCTTCTGGGAGCTTGTCACTATGTTGGTTCCAAATAAACCCGTGAAGTGGTGAATAAACGACTGTGAATACATGAAAGTCATATATTTGAACTGCGGACAAAGACGGAAATATGGAAACGATCTTCGCAGTAATGAAGTAACGAATATTGAGGCTACAAAAGAACTTAGTTGTTTGAAGCACTAGTTTCCAGTTGGTATAGTTCTCATCGTTTACTGTGAACAAGTCACTCGGTTTTAACACTGAATTTGCTTTCTTTTTCGTATGACTTCCTTCCATTCGCCATTTTTTAATGTGCATGCGTTTATGTGCAGACCCCTCTTGTGTCAACGAGTAATGTTCGTTACAGCGCTTGTAAGTCTAAACTAGCCTTTACTCTGGTTTTCCTTCATAGCAGAGAACAGTATGGACCGATCCACGTGAGGAGCACTGGTTATTCTGATTCATTGCCCCACTCCTCCCTTCTCTTTCTTTTTGACCGTCGCTCACCCCATTGGTACAAATCTCTTTCTCTCCCCAGCCTTCTGCAGCTGTAAAAATCAGAGATTGCAGCTCTAATTTTTACCAGGATAATACTAAGTACTCGCCCGTCAACATTACGCCTGCTCTACGGGCCAGATTTAAAGCAATAAAGATTTCGTCCGATTTTACGATCGAAGTCACCTTTCTTTCGGTCTCTAGACATATAACAAAAGTCTCTGATTGTGCGATTATTTATAGAGGTCAATAGTTCTTTATGACAGTCGCAATTGCGAATTGATTAGCATTTGATATATGCAACTGCCTTCCTTCATCGAAAAGTGTTCTCTATTCGCGCGACTTTGGCGGATTTATAAAGCTGACATAGGCTGAAGGAGAGAACAACGTTCCTACACCGGGGAAGTCTTTCATATCCCACATCTCCCAACATTTTCGCCAAGACTTCCGGAATATGGTAGTCTCCTTCGCAGTCGTTCTTCAGGATGTCACGCAATCGAAGAACATGGCGAGCTAGAGAACTTAAAACTTCCCGCGGTACACCAGCTTCTTAAGCCGACTAACTTGGGCTCTCTTCATTGCAAACAACTAATCGTGAACAAATAAGATTTCGTCATTATTTTTGATATTTTTGCGCTGTATTGTCAATACATTCCCTTTGTTCTCTGAATTTATTTGATATATTTCGAGGCTTCTTGTTTCAATGAGGAAATATTTTGAGATTTGAATAGAATGTCAGGCCCTTTAATGCAAATTCCACAGGTTTTTTTTTTTCCAGAAATAGTGCTTCAAGTTTCAATTGCAAAGTAATTCACATATTACCTACGTCAGTCAGCTTTTTCGAAGTTTAAATTCAGTTCGTGTGCTCCTCGCTTCCTTTAAAGGACAAATCCGCAAGGTCAGATGAACTAGGGTGTAAACAATGACGTGATGATTAGTTTTCCATACCTCACGGCTCCACCGCACAATCTGTCCCTTTTAAAAATAGTAATTAGTCTTGTGGAGGTCATTTGAAATCAATGAAAGAAATACTCGCTTCTGACTTCCTTTATCCGTCAGTTGATTCCTTCACTCTACAATTCTATTTGATGACGGGAACGGTCGTATCGTGAACTCTCCACAATGAGTATTCAAGCCACCAAAGCGCGCGGAATAAATTGATTTGGATTTAGTCACGTTAGCTGTTTGAAGACTTGCAGTCATGGAAAAACCCGGTGAACACGGAAAATCTTACGTGTGTCGTCATGGAACTACCGCTTTTGGAAGCCGCAGTGTAAAGACGTAACAACATGCATACTTAACCTGATATTGTTTATATTTTTAATCGATTTGTAAATTATTAAAAATAACTTTAACTTTTGAAGTCATTGCGTATCACATCGGTCATAATCGACAGTTTAAAAAACATGGTAAATAGGAAAGTAAAATAGTGACAAGCGAAGGTTCACTGACTTAAATTCGGCATAAAATCTTTTTATTTCGCATTCCAATCTCCTTACGTAAATATAAATGTAAATGAGTAATTGTCTCTGTTAGCTTTTAATTGTCGGAAGTGAAGTTGCTGTTTTCATCAAATGTCAAGTACATCCGCACATCGTGGGGTTTTATTTTCACATCCCGTCTGTTTGTGATTGGCTGTTGAATCTCTCACTATATAGTGGCATGATAAACTTTACACTCGAGTGTCTCTGTTGACAACGCTCTGTTCAATTGGTGTTGTGATACGTGGATTTTGTTATTGTTGTGCTTGGTAACACGTCATTAATCTCTAATTGCGATCTTTACCACTCTATTTTTAGAAATTTATTAACTAAGATATAAATATGACACAAGAATGAATGTGAGATTTTCATTTAACACTACTATACGTACTGCAAAACTTGGATAGAGAACTGCAACTTTAAAGAAACGAAAAATTCGGATCTTGAGAAGGAACTAACTACCAATCCTTCGTACAAGTAAGCAGTTCGATAATTTGAGTTGATTTTATGATTAGAACTAATTTTGAGCTACCAACACTGAAAAATAGTAGCGATCTGAAGAGCTTTTCTGACATTTGAATCATGATGACGTGCAATTTTGTAGCGTAGGCCTTTTCATTTCCTTTACATAATCACTTAACGGTGCTGTTAACAACTTGTTTTTTGCAGCATTGTAAATAGCAGATTACGTGGTTTCTTACGTTTCGCGTCAAATTGACGGTGTTTCATTACGTTTCCTTTGACTAACATGTTATCAAAGATCTGTCATACTCGGGAAAATTGCTGAGAAAGCGCAAATTCTTCTCTAATGGCCAATTGATAACCAATACTCGATTGTTTGCGTTCTTTTGTTTATTGACATAACTGTATGCTGAGTTCGAAGAATCGTGGTTGTGGAAATGACCTTTCCAAGAAACGACTTTCCGAAGTCACGTCGTTTCTTGGACAAATAGATTCAATTTGAGGGTCTTGATAAGTATCAAAACGAAAAATAGTGTGCTGCATCAGAGTTAGCACGAACTAAAATTCAATTCATAAGCTCAGCCGGAAACAGCATTTGTTGACTCCAAGATGTTTACTAGTTTCTTTAAAAATGCATGAATTAGCATGTACAGACATGGCCGTGTCGCAAGTCAAGTGTGGGTAATTCTATCAGGCTGCCCCTTTACTTTGAAGGGTGATAATTAAATATTCAACCTGTTAAAAGAATCACTTTTTTCCAAAGATCATATCGCTGCTATGCCCCCATTTGAAATGGGATACCCTTTAGGCTCATTCTATCGTTGTAGCTTAAATAGGGGCTATATTACGTTGCTAAGCTTGCGATGACTGTTAACGTGACGTGTCGGTTTGTGAGGAGCTTAAACTTACGAAAGCCGATTTCAAATTATTTTTTCTCTTGGCAGAACCCTGACCAACTAAGGAAATCGATCGCGATTCGTGAGCATTAATAAATCTCAAACTAAGAGGAATTGGGTCAAAATTAGGTTCAACTGGCAAAACAAATTGCAACATACATCAAGTTACCAAACGAGGACTTCACTTGAAGCTTTTCTAGTTTTTCCGATCAAATCTTGAGGTCTGGTTCGCTATGCTTTTTTTTTGTCCTCTTAGCATGTTACTATGTTACCCATATATTTACTGGAATTTTATTTCAATTTGTAAGTTTAAGGTAAATTTTTCATTGCTGAGCTAGAGTTGACAGTCTTTGCTCGAAACAAAGGGTGAGTTGGAGGTTACGAAAGCTATAATGAATATTGTGGATATCATTAGGGCCACTAAAGCTTTCGCTTTTTTTGCTATATTTCGAACAATTTCCCGCAGAAGATACGCCTTTTTTTTTCTTTTTTTTTTTTCTTAAATCGACTTTTAAGGTTAATTTACAGGAACGTAATATGATCCAGAGGCTTTCTAATAAACATTTACCCTCCATACTACGCTCCTTCGAGATATTTATAAAGTTGTCGTTTTTTTCTGACTCCACAGATGTTTACTGGTGAACTAAAGGACAGCCAAAAAGCATTAAGCGGTAGCCAAGCCTTGGGCCTGAATGAATTGATTCATCCCCCTGGGTGTTCAGATCCAAACTGTCTGTTGCCATCTTGCATTAACATAAAGCTACGGAAGAATCATTTACAAACATGCAGGAAGAAAAAGGGACGCTGTGATATTTGCAAAATACTCACTAGCAATCTCACAAGTGGACTGGCTAGTCCTTTCCCTGAACCCCCTGCTTTGCCACCACCGAGGAGAAAATTAGGAGGAACAGCGGCGACTCAAGGAGACGCCAATGTGTCAGCTAGGAATGGGCAGAAAAAAATACTGCCTGAGCCAAAGTTCGTCAACGTGAGGAAGGAAACAGCCTCTTTTGATTGCTTAAAGAAACTCCCAGCACCACGATATGGGGGCCTCAACATGGCTATTTTACCTTACGTTGACCGAAGTAGCAGTTTTCAGCCCCAAGGGCAAAATACCGTACAACACAGTACCAATCTTAATGGCAATTGCAAATCAATCCAAGCACTGCAAGAACAGGCGATTCAGCAGCCATTGGAGGTACTTTGCAACGCTTTGCAGGGTCTGAATACCGTTATACAGATGGTGACGTCAAATCAGCTGGAGATAGAGGCCATTCCAATTTTTAAGCAGGCTCTTGCAAGTATGGAATCCACAGTCTCGAAACGTTCGAAAGGGAACGTCACAACAAGGTCCTTTGACAACCCACGACCGATGATGATGGACTGCTTTGAAAATGGCACAGTGAAAGTGGAGAACCAGTGGGGTACACCTGTAGTAGAAGCAGATATACCAATGCTGCAGTCTACGTCATTACCCGCCTCGTTCATAATTCCATCTTCGTCAACATCGCCTACACCATTATCTGCATCTTCCTCGTCATCTTCATCGTCGTTATCGTCCACGCCACCAGTGACTCCTTCATTATGCGACGACGTTCTACCAGAAGCCAATCTGATGGCTGGATGCTTCCAGGTGCAGCAGACTCCAAGTAAACCAATGCTAACCAAGGAGTCTGTTGAAGATGTTGGTGGGCACGACCTGATGAACGAGTTCAGTTTCGATCTGCAGGATATCATTTTGCTGGATTTTGCTGAAGAATTGCTTGAATAGGATCTGCATTTCATTAGTAAGTAACCATAAGTAATCTATACAGTCTTCTGAATAAAGGAAATTTAATCAAGCACAGAAATCAAGCCATAGTCCCTGGACTGTAGCCTTGCTCTGTTGGGGTTATATCAGCTTCCAACTTCCAAATTTATTCTACATCAGCCTTACCGGTGTTTGTAAGGTCCCAACTTAGATATTTAAAATAGCTTGAATAAGAAATCAGTCTGAGTTGAGACTTATCTTACAGCCTTTATAATTTTGGTTATTAGCCTTGTACAACGGTTGTAAAATGCGTTTTGGGGGCGCAGCGACGGTGGATATCCGGCAGATAGATATCCGAGAGATGGATTCAAGAAGTGTAAGGAACTTTCTGAGAATGATAATATGAACCGGAATTTAAATCGTATAAAAAAAAATGATCACCATAAGGACGGTTCGTTGAAATTCTCAGGTCGATCACAGTTATGATTTAAAGTTGCAAGTAAACTAAAATTTCCGGAAGGTATAATTAGGATTTACCATATTTCCCTTTAGTTTGTCAACGCATACAACTGTTAGCAAAGAAAAGCGTAAAGCCTTTTTTTCCAAAATAGAAAGCTGAAAACTATTTTTTTCGTCATTCTTATCCCCTTGGACTTTTCAACTTAGGTAGGAAATTATTCTTGACATCACTCTTTTGTCTCTTTGTCAGGAAAAGGGGGAGTCCAGTGAGATCGGGCAGGGCCAGTCTCAACACAGGGACATACGAATGCAGTCTTCCAAGCTGGATTGGAATGATGGCTATTTCAATGTTCCTTCTTATGAGAGTAGCACTTGAGTTGATATAGAGAGCATCCATTTCGGAGACGAAGTATCATTTTTTCAATAGAAATTTAGAACACGACTCCAAACACCATTTGAATAACGAAAGTGGAGATGGTGTTTCGCCATACGAACTGACAAATTGGTTACCAGGCAACCCTCAGGAAGAAATCCAAATGACTTTAGATACTGCACCAGTGGGCGCACTCTTCCACGGTAGATTGCGATCACATGCTTGTTTTGTTAGACGAAACACATGAAAGAACGTGCTAAGATAGCATCGACTCAGATATGTGCTTCAGCGTAAATGATGCACCGGGCCTTGATGATGTCTTTGACGTTCAGGAAGAAATGGGTCCTGTCGAGTATCTGCCGATGGATGCATCCGCCACAACTCATCATGCTAACGATGATCTGTCCAATTAATTCACATCCAACAGCTTGTACCTGCTGTTCATCTCTAACACTTAAAGCTCAGATATTTGCAATGTAGCTCAGAATATCAATATGGATTCCGTTAAATTTCTCCAAAACCCCTCCCGTGGATTGGTAACAGTAGCTAGAATGATTTGTGAGTTACTTTCCGAACCAAAATCAGATTACTTAGCGTTTACTCTTGTTTGTGCGCTTGACAATGCCTTAAAGGAGATGAAAGACGCTTATACTTACCCTCTGTTCAAACCGCCTGCGTGTAAAAGAGGTAAGAAATAATTCAGCTCTGATATCAAGAGAAATTATAAAATAATTCAAATAGTACGCGCGCTCTGATTGGCCATAAAACCATTTTACATGAGCGTATGTAAACACGGTTTTCGTTCCTCTTTCATTAGTTATTTCATAAAAGAAATGTAAAATGGTTTCCGTGTTTACATAGCCTGATGTAAACACTTGGGAGGTTTGGAGAACACTCGATAAGCTGGAAACCACTCCGCTTTGCGTCGTGGTTTCCTACATTTATCTCGTGTTCTCCCAACCTCCCAAGTGTTTACATCAGGCTATGTAAACACGGAAACCATTTTACATTTCTTCAATGTTAAAAAAATGGCAAAACAAGCTTGGGGTCACCCAGCTTTGCATGTTTTTGGTCTTTCCTCGGCTTTAAGGTCCTAATCTTTGTCAGCTTTTTTTAAGAAGCCATACAGCCTACCAATTTTATAGATTTAACCGCAATGATGGATTGTATAAGAGATATTGTCCAACATCAGAGGAAAACTAAAGGTCTCCTAATTTTATGATAAGTTAGCGTCATCGTCTGTGAGAAAATTTGATTTGGATGTTACAAGTATATTTTGTCTTAATTTTACCTGGATGAATGAAAACCATTATTTTCAAAATTATATCAAGTTGGGTGGTTGGTTGTATCCTAATAGCTTTAGATAACTGCGTGAATGCAATCAAATCTTTTCATTGTTACGTACAAGGATGGTGACATACACAATCGGCGAAGAAAAATATCTTTCGCTGCACTAAAATTGACGGAAGGGATCGGTAGAAATTATAGCCAGACTAACACTAAAAAAAACTGGACTTGTAAAGGAAGACACCAGGCATCAATGTCGTGTGTTGCTGCTGTATTTTGATGAGATCCAGAATATTGTACTGTTGTTTAAAACCTTGCTATTTTGTTAGCAATTCAAGGTGAATCATTAGATACTTATGATTATCATAATGGAAAATTAATTGCAATATTTTAATAAACGAGGTAATCGTTAAGATAAAAAATTTAAAAATTTAAAATGTAATTACGTCGCATAACAACGGTAGCACTCTGCATACCCTTCACTATCTCGATCGGTACTGCACATGCTCTACTGCTATATAGAACAATAAAATGGAAACTTGCAAATGGTTTTTAAAGTTCTCTTTGCTGGCTCTAGTTCACAGCTCTCCTTTGTCGTGAATGGGTGGTAATCACGAGTTTATTTTTGAACGCTAATGGTTCGTTTGATACTTTTTGTTATGACCTGGACTCGGTAAGCTATACAGAGGATGGTAATTTACCTTACAACTAGCGATGTCCGCAATTTTATTCTTACACCAACTGCGGTTAACCCTTTCGCTTCCAAGATCTCATTGGTAATTCTCTTTACCGTCAGTCACACAATTCTTGTGATGCTAGTTCTGAGAATTTGGTATTGAATCAACGAACAATTCCCCTAATGATATTTTCCTTTATTCTCATCACTTATCTGCTTGATATTGTACAAGTATTGTAAGGAGAAATTCTTTCTTGGTCACTTATGGGAGTTTAAGGGTTAACGAGTCCTATAATATCTGAAGTTAGATATACTAAATGAAGCTTCCCATGAAAACTGGCATGGTGTCCTCCAGCGCTATAAAAGGCTCGTTTTGAGTTGTTGCTTTGGTATTTGTCTTCTCTGAGCTCGTTTTCTCGCCCTCTAACATAGTCAGATCGACAGTCCCAGTACAGCGAGCTACTCTAGATCTAGAAGAAATAATTGGTAAGGACTGGGACTTGCAAGCGACAGATCGGCTCATTCTGATGTTGGCTGCCCCAAGACCTTTTTCAGCGTCGCTTGCAGACTTGTTAACTCGTATCCTCTGTCTATAAGGGATATCTTGCCTTGCACTTCTTCTCCTGGAGCGCTTGGACTGAGGTTGCGCGGCCGCCTCCATTTCTCTTAAGGTTGCATTCAGGAGGCGAACGAAAATAGAATCAAGATGGTCTGATCTTGGTTTTGAGAGTAACTCACACAATCTCCTTATTGCAGTTATCAAACCACGGGAAGGGTTTTGAAGACCTTTCGCGAGGCCAAAATTAAAGCCTTGAAATGCGTTGCATGGGTTGGAAGACGGAATGTAAACATGTGGCGGTTGACATGAACCATGAGACCAGTAAGACTGGTAAGGGCTGTCATTAAAGTGAGGAGATGATCCTGTTGAAGGTGGTTCTGTTGCCATATCTGGCCCAAAAAAATCCATTTCAGCATCAAGGACATCAAAGACATCATCTAGACTAGGTGCATCATCTATGCTTGGTATTGGTAACTCAAAATCAATGCTTTCAAAAGACATCTTTCTGTCGATTACATCTGACACACTTGCCGGGTCGGAAGAAACTGATAATTGCCATGGCCCGTTGCAAAGTTTGTCTTCCGCATCCATTTTTAAAGTTATTTCATTTGTTATGGGTTGAGAAAGTGATGAGTTAAATGAATCACTGGTTTGAATTGAAGTATTACTGGAACTGTCTCTATTGTTATGTTTGATTTTCGAGTGGCATTCCTGCTCCCAAAGATGCCTGTAATCAGCCATTTTCAAGCAAGCTTCGCTCGTGGTTTTTTCCTCCACATTTTGTCCTACACCTTCCAAATGATTGTAACGCGATTGACAATTCACTCCAGCAGCTTTAAAAACGATTCTCTTTTGCTGTAGATAATGTTCATTTTCTGATTTCATTTTGATTTCTTTCCTTTTCTGCAATGAGAACACACAGACGTAATTATTTCATGCCTAAATCTTTAAAAGATCTGTATGCACAGATATGTTTGCCACAGCGTTGCCATTTACGTAGCGCAGCGAATCCTCTGTCAGGCTCACTAATTGGAAATAAACATACAAACCAAAAGAGCTTATACTCACAAACCCTAAACATACTTATCAAAAACTTTTCCCACATATGAACGATCAGTTTTGCCTGTGTCGAACAGGACAAATATTTTGTACCATCCTTGAAGTGCAGAGTTTGCAATACGAAGAGGAGTTGGGTTTGATTAGTTCTGATTATACTCGCTCGATTGCTAAAAGGTTTATACCAAAAAGCGTGATCCATTGACAGTGAGATCCGATGGCTTGACGGGAAACGTTCACACAGATACATAATCAGTGATTTCCTTATTCGTTATTTATATTGATTATTTTTCATTAATAATCCTTTTTCTTTTTCAGGAAAGCTTAGATAGCTTCCATCATTCACCACGTGCAACTAATGGTGGTTATGACGTACATGTGACCCATAAAGCCAGGTCTCATCGATCGCGGTAAAAGCTTGTTAGGTGTCAACATCTTGGCAATCGCGTGCATAACGTAAAGTTGATTGGGAAAAGAAATTTCCGTTCATCAATCAGGCAAGTATTTTAAAGATGTTATCAAATAATTAAAAATTGGTGCGTGACCAACCCTCTCTGGTGTGCGTCTGACCTTCCTTCCTTCCTTCCGGGTGAACCCATCAAAAAGACCGCGCTAAAGCTTTGGGTTTTAACCATTCAAATGAGCTTTTACTTCTCTTTTATGAATTTAACCTGTGTTGCATTAATCATGTAAGATCGCCCAGAGGTTATTTGCAGATTTTTTTCCTGGTGTTTAAGATCATCTCGATAAGTAGAGCTGTTCACGCGATCAGCTTCGTTAAAGAGGCTAGTTTATTAAATTTAAAGAAACATTAGGCTCGATGCGTACTGTATGTTTTCGTCTTCTGTTAATCAAAAGCGTCAGTGACATCTTATAACCTAAAAATTTAAAGGTAAATGCAACAAAAATTCATTTACATAAATTTACTTGTGTTAGCCATAAAGTAAAGATTTTAAATTTAGTTGTCTTTCGTGCTTATTTCCGTCCAAAGGAAACAAAACCGACAGTTTTAAAATATTGTCCATCACGAAGCGTACTGGCCTAACATCGTGTTTTGCACCCCCTGTAGAGCAAGAGCAAGGCGCGAGAGCAAGATTTGGAACTTGTTCGAAGGATTGCTTAATCTTTGTGCCATATCGCGCCCCGTGGTAAGGTGGCAGAAGCACGGACTTGTCAAATATCAAAATATCTGGCATGAATGACTTAAAAAAAAGAGTTGGTTGCGAAAAAGTTTGAACCATCAATTCACAGAGAAACAGCTGCATCGTTTACATTTTGAAGGAAACTGTCTACCCATTACCCTTTTCGGCCATGGTCTTAGTTTAGGAAGCCATGATGGCAAAATTCCCGACCAGTCTTAAGTTCTGCATATTCGCCGACGTTTTAATTTTTTTTCCGTTATCGTCTATTCTTTTAACATGATTCATAAGACTTTTGAAAGAAATGAAACAACACTGGAATACACATATGGACATGTGAAAGAATTTGTTCGTCCAAAGAAGAAACATTACTGGGCATGGACCAAAACCTTATTCGATGACTATCTATTATGTACCGACTACTTCGATCAAAAGCCTGAGCAGCTGCGAACGTTGACTTGACTCGCAGAATCCTTATCAAAGTTTGAGGAGTTGGCCAGGAATTCATGACCTTGTTATCTTATTAAAGAGCCGGGGACGTAATTTTATTTGAGCCTATTTACGGTAGAAACTGTCAAGGATTTTGGACGATGGAAAATCGAGATGGATGTATACTCTTGTGGTCTTGTGGTGAACTTCGTCGAGGCGAAGGGTGTTCACTCAATTGCTTTCTAATTTTTTCCAGTTCTAAAGCCTTATGCTAGATGTGATACTGATCCGACTTGCTCAGTAAGAGTCAATGAATGTAGCAACGCACTTTGAAGCACGCACATTGTCAGGCGGTTGATCAGTTTCTGAAAGCCTTGTTGTTTTCGAGCCACCTAGCATCATCAGCCACGACATCACCAGCCCTCGTTAATTCTCAAGCCTCAAAACTTTGCCAATTTAACACCCTATCAGCAACCAAGACTCATGAACTTGTATGACGACTGGATTTTTCTAGGATACCCCAACTTACTATACCGAGCTTTAAAACGATTAATACAAAAATCTCCTCGCGCATTGATGTCTCTCGCAGTATGTGTGATTTTTCTATTGCAAGGCACTTGAGC